CCATTTAGACCTCATCTTCTTGTACCATGTATGCTATGATTGTCATCTTGTCTGATTTTAATTCAGTATATTTGGATCACAATATTGAACCAAGTAGTTTTCCACAGGTCTGGCTGGCATTCAGCAATAGGAAGTACTTCTTCCTTAGGTGATACTGAACATCTCTGAGGGCCTACCCAACTGCTGTGCTCTTTAGGAAGCTGAGGCTCTGAAGTCTTCTTGACCTTGATCATGTTCTATGTATTGGGTGTCCCCCTTCGAAAAACTGTGTTTCCATGTAGGGTATTTTGAGGTCCAGAATAGGAAGGTGGGCTGCTACCATTGGAGGCAGAGGGAAGGGAGGAAGCTTTGTTACCACTAGCTGAAGGAATGAATCATTCTGGATAGTCCCTCTTTCCTCTGCATTTCTCATTAGAAATGGTTCCAAAACTTGAATCCCAGCCGTTCGATACATTCTTGTCCACCAAGTATGCTCCATGTACAAAATTAGAAGCTAGAGAAGGTATAGGTAAATATGGATGGATGACACACTTGCTCCATGATACTTCAAAGATCAGCATGAGAACTTTAAAAGCTCTCTTTACATAGGGAAAATTACTTTAGCTTATCTTGCCTTATAGGTGCACAGTCCTCTGAGCGGGTATTAGAGAGCTCTGAGTTTATCATGAAACACTGTGCCTGGAAGGATTGATCAGGGTGACTCTTTCAACAGGAGTGATGTGAAGGTGTTTTTGTAGTTACTTCAGCTAATTTATGTGTCGGGGGGAAACAGAGGCCCCAACAAGCCATATCATTGGCAGAATAAAGGTAATGGAATGTCTCTTGGTTTTTGATTTTTCCAGTTTTGCATGATCCAATGGTAATGAAGAGAAAAACATTTAGAGAATGAGTTTAGAGGGTAGTCCCATTCATACAAAAGAGCCCCAAAACAGAGAGAATTAGGAAAAAAAATATTTTGCTCCCTGCTTACTCACAATTATCTAGAAAATGCAGGACTACTGATCTGCCTGCCTACAATATCAGAGAAAGAGTCACGAGCGTTGAAGTGTTATGGTCAAAACTCAGACCCTTCTGGATAAGGCTGAATTGCATTCAGTATTTGCAAAGAGGTGCAGTCCAAATATCTTGGACTGAAGATGGGGTCAGGATCTATACATAAGCACCAATCACAGATTCAGTAAAAAAGTTTCCAAGGTATTCTAGCTCCTGAAAACTTGGCAGTTTTAACACAAATATGGCAATGCAACTTACATTTCACTACATTTACAACGTGAACTACACCATTTGCATATACCAGGATAAGTCTGTATCCATGTAAAGCATGCTAATAAGTGGTGCTGAATGCATTACATGAAAAAAATAGTAAAAATTGCCCTTCCTGTTTTAAAGGAGGATTAGAGAAAAAAGCAGCCCCCCAAAGGCCACAAATATACAAAAGTGTCAATCATTAAATTCCACAATATGAAAAAGATACAATTTATACTTTTACTTAAACATGATATTTTGTAATTGAAATATTGCAACAAAGAAGGCACTGACTTTTTAGCCTATGGTCAATTTCTTCCATTACTTTACGGTCCATAAAAGCATTTGGGCACTTCTCTCATCTGAATCATTAATGCAGGTGCTTGAACTTTATTTTTTAAGTGATGAATTACAGTCCACAATAGCTGTCAGCATAACTTTTGTTGTTGGGATTTTGAAGCTAAGTAGTAATGCATTTTGTATTGGATTTCCCTGACACTAAGCACTACTATATAATGCATTAGAACTTAATATACAATCAAAGTCCACTCATCAGCAGTGACACATTAACAGTGGACCTGAACAGCATATTAAATTGACTCAGAACTGCACTTCTCTTCAGCCAGTAATTTACAAAGTCCAACGCAGACTGGTTGAAATATTCACACAACTGTTTTTCAAAACATTTTATTGCATTATATTTGGTACCTTATGTTTGACAAAGGAAATTACATCTGTAACTGCAGGAATAAGAAGCTGGTCTGTTATTTGAAAAAAAAAAAACAAAAAAAAACTTGGGCCCCTTAAAAGTTACAAAGTCTTGAGTTTGCTTGAAACAACTGAGCAAGAAATATATTCTTAGAAATGTAGGGCTTCAAGTATTACAAACCTGTGACACTGTGGAAAAGTTCCAGAGGTATCTAAACTGCAGCACTTGTTTTTCTCTGCATAACGTGAACAAGGCCTGCTGAGGTTTTAAACTATTAGTCTCTTGATCAGTCATAAAAGGATAGCCAGGAGTTCCGCTCTTTGTAACTTCAAGCCATAGTATGTTCTCATTTTATTTTCACTCTTTGTGAAAAAATGCACACTATCTTTCTAATTAGTTGGTGCCACATCACAGTGCATAATTTCATTTGGTTCTTGCATTACAGTTTTAACAAGTTTGGCCAAACTATGCTGCGAGGTTCAACTCAAGAACAGCAGTGTTTCTTTCTTTTCAAGTTTAATTAAAATGAAGAGATAGTTCTAACTGGTTCCTTCAGTTAAAAACTGTGGTACAAGAACACCAAACTGATCATGTACGTGAACTTCGGAGACACAACAAGCTTATTGAACACCTTATGTTTCTTAATTCTGCTTGATATTTATATGTCCCAGTCTCTACAACATCACATATATGTTGTAGATTTCTCTGTAAATAGTGATTCACGAGTACTTCCTATGAACAGAATCATCTCCGTATCAAAATCAGTCAGATGCTAAAGCCCCAACAACTCTTTGTGCTCAGTGAAAGAATCCAGTGCTAAAACAGCATTTTTGCTGTCTGAGATAATAGTAATCTCACAAGACAAATTTAAAGTAATATTTCTGCCACACACCTGCTCTGAGGGCTATGAACCTCCAGATTTCTTATAAATTAGTTTAAAAACATGGGGTAGGTAGGTAAGGATAAGGGTTTTTTTTTTCTTCAATTTTAGCAGCTTTTAATTTTTCTTAAGAAACTGAACAACCTATATCCATATGTTAGATATTTTATATATATACTTTGTCAGCAGGATAAAAAAAGTAAAACTATTTGAAGGCAATATTTTTACTCCTTCCTTTTTCTGTGTAAGTTAGAACAAATCAGCAGGTGCGTGACAAAAATATTATACACCAGATATGGACCAATGTAATTCATTCTTTCTTTCTTTTCTTTTTTTAAACAAAATTGTTCATATTTCATTGGCCAGTTCTTCAGTTTCTGCAGAACTATCTCCATTAACTGTGATCTTCATATCCTCTTCATATCCAGGTGGCATGAAAGCCAAAGCATAAGGGAAAAGCTTATGACAATTCGCTCTGTAAGTTTCAACTGCTTCTTTACAGTCTCCCAGGCTACCATCACTCAAAGCTTCTAATACCTCCATACAAGTCTAATTAAAACAAAAGAAAAAGGTGTTAAACCTTCTTAAAAATATTAATCTAGGACACTCATTAAAATATATAATACTTCTGAAGTTATTTTTTAGCATCTGTCCTACTCCTAAATATGTATTTTTCTAAGTAAATACATATAAAGAACATTATGAATACTTGGGAAAGTTATAAAAATATTTCTAGATTTAGCCTTCTTATAGCATAAAACGCTACAAACACTAGTAAAAACACTAAATTTACTCTGTAGCATCAAAGCATCTGGTAAAGAGAAGTTTCTAGCCTTACTAGTTGCACAGTCTTTTAACATAAATAATTATCACTTCACTTTGTTGAATTTGCTGGAAGAAAAACTGGAAGAGCAAAGAGCCAATCCTCCCCCCACAGTTCTAGAGGTCAGTAATTCCAGCAGTAAAGCATTTAATTTAAATTTTGTTTCTAGCTTTACCTACATAATTATTCTAGATTAAATCGGGAGTATTTTTCCTAAATATCTGGACTTTATAATTATGTAACTATGTCAAGGACTCACGTGGGTTTATAAAACAAAGCATTACTACTTAAGTAGTTATTTTTCATTTATAGATATTTTGCAGTGCAAAAAATCCATATTCCTGCAGTAACACTCCTCATATATAAGTAAGGCTATGTCTACACTTCATGCTTATTTTGAAATAACAGAGTGCATGTTTCCACTGCAAGTCTATTATTTTGAAGAAATTTTGAAATAATTGGCTTCTTATGCCAACTTCTGTAACCCTCATTTCACGAGGAGCAAGGGAAGTCGAAGGGAGAGTGTTCTTCCTTCAACTACGCAATTAACGTAGCTGAAGTTGCAAATCTTAACTCGACTTTAGCCTGCAGTATAGATGTCCCTTAATGGAACCTCTCATTGCTCAAAATCCTCAGCCAATGGGTTCAAGTGGGGCCCAGTGCACACCAGTGCAGTTGAGCTCTAAATAAACTACAGTACTTCTAAGCATTAACACCATTAAAAAAAGTGTAATTTTTTAAACACAAGGATTAAAAACAAAACAAAACCTATTACAAAATCTCCAACTCAAGTCAAAAAGATGTCCAGCTAGAGGCACACAAACACTACTGCAAAGTAACAGAGAAATATATTTTCTTTTTATCAAAGATAGATGCCTTGCAATAGATCTTAGTTACAGGAATAATAAATGTGTCTTTTATTGTTAAAAATGGTTTAGAACACTGCATTAAAGTGGGCCTATAAGCAGAAGGACTTGGAAAGAATACATGAATACACTCTGATAAGCACACATGGAAAAGTTACTAGACTTGGAGAATGACATAGCACAGAGAAAACCATGGAGAAGAGTCGTCAAATTACAAAGACACCCACTAAATAAATAAAACATCTGGGAGGTGTAACAGATGGAGCACTTAAAACATTGGTGGCAAAAATTTTTTTTTTTTTTTTTTTTTTTTTTTTTATATATAAGGCAAAACATCTATATGCAGTATTCAAGATGTAGGAGAAAGGGTAAATGGGATGACTCAGGTAATTACGGGCTTGTCAGCCTGACAAAGATCCTGGGCAAGATAATGGAGCAGCTGATACTCAACTAATAAGGAGTTATTGGGTAATGTAATTAATGTTATTCACCAAAGGTTTATAGAAAATATGGATTGTAAAACTAATATGATATTTTTTATTGATGAGATTACACATATGGGTTGATAAAGGCATTAGTGTTTACATAATACAGTACATTCAGAATTCTGTAAGGTGTTTGACTTGGTATCACACAACATTCTGATTAAAAAATTAGAATGATATAAAATTAACATCACACACACTGAATAAATTAAAAACTGGCTCAGTGATAGGTCTCAAAATGTAACTGTAAATAGTGAAACAACAAGGGGGTGTATTTCCAGAGGGATTGCACAGAGACTGGTTCTTAGCCCTACACTACCTGACAGTATTATTAGGGCTGTCAATCAGAGTTAACTCAAGCAATTAACTAAAATATTGAGATTAAAAAATGAATCATGATTGATCACACTGCTAAATAATAGAATACCAACTGTAATTTATTAAATGCTTTGGATGTTCTACATTTTTAAATATAATGATTTCTACTACACAGAATATACTTTGCATTCTATGTTGTAACTGATATCAATATATTTGAAAATGTAAAAAATGTCCAAAAATATGTAAATAAATGGTATTCTATCATCACAGTAAGACAATAAAATCTTCACTGATGTTTGCAGATGACACAAAAAGTGAGGGAGTAATCAATAATGAAAAGAATGGGTCAGTGATTCGGAGTGGTGTAGATCTCTTGATATACTGGGAGCAAAGAAATAATATATATTTAATTATGGATAAATGTAAATATACATCTATGCAGAAAGAACACAGGCCATACTTACAGGATGGGGGCTCTAAACTGGGAAACAGTGACTAAAATAAATATGGAAGTCATGGTGGATAATCAGCTAAACATAGCTTCCTGTGTGATGCTGTAGTCAAAAGAACCTATGCTATCCTGAGATGTATGAACAGGGAATTCTTGAGTAGGAATAGAGCATTTATTTAACTTGTGTACTTGATACTGGTGTGACTGTTGCTGGAATACTGTGTCCAGTTGTGATGCTCACAGTAAGGATGTTAAGGACTAGTTGACTACCTCCCCCCATGCTGCCTCTATCAGATAGATTTCTATTACCCCAGCTCTCATACATTTCAAAGGAAGAATATGGAAGTGCCTAATTTACTCCACTAGTAAATTACTTGTTATTTAACATCCTTAGCTCACAGTTCAAAAAGAAAGTTGATAAGTTGGAGAGAGTTCAGAGAAGAGTCATAAGAACGATTAAAGGACTAGAAAACGTGTCTTATAGTGATAGATTCAAAGGATATGTCCTCTACACTGTCATCAAACATCCATGGCTACCCATGTCAGCTGACTCAGGCTTGAGTTATGGAGCTGTTTAATTGTGGGGCAAGTCCCAGAGCCCAGGCTCCAGCTCATTACTCTACAAAGCAATTAAACAGCCCCTGAACTGATTCTCTCTATGTAGTCACTGCAAAGAATAAAGACCTTCATGTGAGTTACTCAAAGAAATTCAAAATCCAATTTCTTTACACAGATAATTTTTGGAATTGTTAGGCTAAGGGTATTTAATACATGTGACTGCCTGATAATCAGTGGGTCTTGAATGATGAGCATGCTAGAAATTAATCCTACCCTGTGAGTGACTATTTAATTTATTCTTAGTCTGTATTTACTGAAATCATTCATTATGTCTCTAAAATTCAGATTTCCCTTCACTAGTTAAAAAAATAGTGACACAATCCTGGACAGCTGCATGTAAGTGATGTTTTGACCAATATGAGCTAGCAGCTCTGTAAAGAGCGTACTCAAAGGATCACTGAAATAATATTTTCTATTTTAGGACTGTTATATAGAAAAAAACCCCATTTACCTCCACAATTAGTTTACTGTACTAGGAATAAGAAACTAGTGACATGAGATGATGATACTTTTTTAATTCATATTTTTAATTTAAAATGAACGAACATCAAGTGCTATAGAAAGTTTATTAAATTTGCTTGAATAAAATAGAATTTTAGTTCTCTAAGAATGTGAAGAGATAGAAAGGTCTTTTACAATTACTTAAGGACAGTGATCTCTGTTGTAAGGAAGGAACTGGACAGTTAGTAGCACAAGGGGTACTTGGGTTCTACAGCTGGGGTTATATACAATGCTAGAGCCTAATGGCTCAGCTTTCTGAGCGATGGGGACTCCAGTCAAGTACTAGGAGCATAAGCCAAGGAACATAATGAAAAAGAACAGCTTTAAAAAAAAATAAATCACATTTTCTAGTAAGTGCAAGAATGTTGGAATAGATTTTATAGTGGGAGCGCTGAGAACCACTGAACCAAACTTTAAACCTGTATATAATGGAAAATCACTCCCAGCCAGGGAGTGTTTCAGTATCCCCTCCCCCCCAACATCCCTCTTTCCAGCACTGTCTGTGTCAAGTGTCTAATGTCATTGGTATTGAAGCAGGGAGAAGAAAGGAAATTCAGGAGTTTTGTAAATTAATCCAATTTTGATCTCTCCATTCTGACTTATTAAAAATATCTTTACGAAGTGGTTTGTGCCCACAAAAGCTCATGATACCATTCAAATGTTTTGTTAGTCTTAAAGTCTGCAAGACTATTTGTTGTTTAAGTTTTTCCAGTTACACACTAAGGGTATGTCTAACTTACGCTTTATTTTTGAAAGAGGGTATTCAAATTCCCCCGGAATTTGCATATCTTCTTCCAATCTCATTTTCAAAAGTGGGTCTTTTGAGAGTGAAAATAATCTGGACGCATTTTTTTTTCGCGAGGGAAAAAAACCCCCCTTTTTGAAAAACCATTCTTCCTTAAAAAATGAGATTTACATGGTTTTTCGAAAAAGGAGAAAAGGGGGGTTCAAAAAACAAAAAACAAAAAAAAAACAAAAAAAAAAACAAAAAAAAACCGTGTCCAGACTACTTTCACTTTCAAAAGACCCTCTTTCAAAAGTGAGATTGGAAGAAGATAGGCTATGTCTAGACTAATTTGTATATCCTCTTTGAAAAATAAAGCATAGTCTAGACATAGCTTAACTCAGCTAGCTATCCCTCAAACATTTGTAATTCTTATGACCTTTATCTGAGGTCACAATGCTAGATTTTCAGTCATCAGATACATATTGTCTTAATTTTTTCTAATATTATTTCTTCCGGAAAGAGAGAAGCATATTTCACTAATTCCAAGGCCACACCCTCCAGAAAGGGCAAAATAAAATATTCCCATATCTGTGGCAAAAGCAGTAAAGATGGGTAAAAAGCTATTTTCAGATGTTTTTGTCAGTTAGAAAGTGTTAAAGTTGGAAGTTCTGCCCATCTGCAGAATATAATTAAATGTATATATATAAATACAGTTTATGGCTCTACCAACTTTCTAATATAATCTTAAACTTCCCAAACAACCGAAATGATATTGCTTACAGAACCAAAAACTTTAAGGGCGCCAATGCAGCAGGGGGACAAAACACAAGAACCAAGTATCTAGAAAAGGCAAACATTCAGGTTCCAAAAATATAAAATCTTCCCTCTTTACCTGAAGATTCCTGTTGGTAAGTGATTCATCAAGGGACGTTGCCAGCTCCACTGCTCTTTTCTGACTGGAAGGATCCAAGTAGTAGACCATTTTGGCAGCTACAAGAGAAAAATAATGTTCTCCAGCATAGTATCAAGTCAAATGAGTCTATACTACATAAAGATTGCATAGCTCAAGAAAAACAAGGAAGTACTGAGTTCTAGATCAGAGTTCAAAACTGGCCCAAAAGGATTACCTTTTACCATGATTACATTACATTTTCCTCAGAACCCTACTTCATAGAATAAAAGAGCAGTTACTCGGTGTCTCAGTTTATCCTCTTCATTAAATAAGGGATCAACCACACATTGAATGTAAACCACCAAAATTCTGCACTGAGTACAAAAAATATTAATTTCCTCATGGATATGTATGCTAAGTTCACAATACCATCTTTCCAGCACAACTGTGAGATTAGGCGGTATTCATGCCCTATTTTACAACTGGGGAATGGACATGAAAAAAAAAAATCAAGGGCAAAATTCTTGTAACCAAAAACAAACAAAAAACTCAAAATCCACACAATCTCACTGATCCTCAACTTGGGTCATCAGAAAAATCAAGACTTTTAGATACAAAGCACAGACATCCACCTCTTCAGCTAATGGTGTAACTAGTAGCAGTATAGAAAACTTATCTATTTCAGTGATTCCCAACTGCTGGTCCATGGCCCACTGCTAGGCTGTGACCCTGCTGGCGGTCAGAGTTCAAGCCATCTGTTCCTGGTGGCTCAGCTCCAGCAGCCTTGGTGGCTCAGGCGGCAGCTAGAGGAGGCGGAGCAGGAGGCGCCTCCTTTCCTCTCCCCCTCTCTGCACGTGGGGAAGAAGGCGGCACAAAGAAGGAGGGGGGCGTAAGCGCTGCCAATGGCCGCTCCTCATGCCTGCATAGCCGCTTTTGCCCGTGGCGGTAGGAGGTGGAGGAGCAGGAGCAGGAGACGCCTCCCCAGGGCTTTCAGCTCCCTCTCCTGCCCATGCAGCTGCTTTTGCTGGCAGCAGCATGGGGGCTGAGGCAGAGCAGGAGGGGCCTCCCCAGGGCTGCTCGCAGCCACTTTTGCTGGCAGCAGCGGTGGGGCTCAGGTGGGGGCACCTCCCTCTCTCCTCCCATCATCCATAATGACAGCTGACCAGAGCTCTGCACTCCCCCCACACCCATGGAGTGCAAGGCACACTTGGGGAGGGAGGGGGTGCGAAGTAACTCCCCACACGGCAGTAATGGCCACGCTCCCTAGAGGGGGCAGCCTCATTCTGGGGAATGCAGGCCCAAAGGTGATGGGTGAGGGCACAGGGCAAGAGGATGTTTGACCCCTACAGTCAGAGGTTAAAGGGTCAAAGGCAATGGGGCGTAGGAGAGGGGGTCAAAATGTGTTAGACACTGGGGAGCGAGGGACTGGGCTGGGGCTAGGTGGACTGGTAACATTTTATTTGCATATTTGTGTTTGTGTAATGTTTGCATAATGAATATACAAATATGTTACCAGCCTGCCATACGTTTGTGAGTGGGTTTGCCGGTCCACGGCATAAAAAAGGTTGGGAACCACTGATCTACATGGAACAGACACTAAAGGGGATGAGACACTTGGCTAGCAAGTTTCACAGCAATTCGCTCACAGCAGAATATGTAGACTCAGGACATCTGACTGCAACTCCAGGTTAAGGAAAAGAGTGTTCTCTAGTAGCAATAGACCATTCTACAGATTTCTGCCCTACTGGAGCTAATCAGTTCAGACAGTGTTTGAGTTAAACTCCAGCAGAAGAACTCAAGATTTCAAACACTACATTGCAGATGACAGCTGCCTGAATCTTTAAGTTCAGTATATTAGACTACAGGACTCACAATTTATGATCTATTTTGACCAAATACCACTTGTTGCCCATGCCATTTGAGGTTGTAATCTATGGAACTAGCAAGAAAAGTGTTTTAAAATATCCAGTTTTTCCATGTCACAGAAACTTCCCATTACCAAGACATTTTGACTTAAAGAATCAATAAAACAATTATTTTGTAAAAGTGACATTCATACAAACTGTAACCTAAAACATGTAAGAGAGTTAAACAACAATTAGTATTAAAAAAATCTTCTATGACACTTCACTTACACCAGAAATGTCTATAGGCCAGATGTGATCAAAAGATTTTTAGCCAAGAATTGAGAGATATAGGAAGAGATATTAAAGATACATAGGAAAGGAAGAAAAGTTGTTTTCAACTGAGATTCTGAATGGATACAAGAATGCCATTTCAAATGGCAAGAGTAGATTCTTACACTGTTGGTGTGATAACAGAGAGAAGCCAGTGCTAGATGACCTCAGGAAGTGGGAAAGAGAAAGACAAAGCTAAGGGTTTGGGGGTAAATCTGCAGAAACAGGAAAATTCAGAAATAACAAAAACAATGTACCTGATAATCTATGTGGTAGTGAATCATAGTTCTTTTTAAGGAAAGCTTCATTGAAGTTCTTTGGATTAGTTGCCCCAAAAAGCCGATTCATTTCTTGATTTAACACTGTTCTAACTGTATCAGGTAGATCTTTACTTTCAGATACTATTGGATAAAAAGGAAAAACATATATTTAACATAGATATGGATATTTTCTATCGTTCATCAAAACAAAATACAATTGATGTGACAAATATAATCCATTCTGATATTAGTATAAATCAAAGAAACTGGTGTCAACTGAAAATTCATTAAGTTCTATTTTTCCTCTTTATACTTTATCACTAATAAGTTTTCACAGATGAAGCATTGCAAACTTTGCTTTTACAGATTATATTGAGGGTAAAGGTCACCTCATTACAGAGATGGCAAATACTACAACAATCGGTGCCCAGAAATTGACAAAGATAATGATTTACTCTACAATAACTCTGGTTCTTCGAGATGTTGTAGAAAGTGTGGATCCTACTGTGCAGTGTGCATATGTCTCATGCATTCAAGGCCAGACATCTGAATAACAATGACTGTCATAGATCATACTGGGCTATAAAAGATGAGGCAACTAAGATCCTTCCACAATTCCCTTGCAATTTGAAGCCAGTGGCAGCTGAATATACCATAAAGCAGGGATGGAGGACAGATTGAGATCTACACTGACCACAACATCTTCATGAACCACAATTATTGTTGACCAAACATGCCACTTCTGTGAGCAGCTGCATGCGATGCTAGGGTTGGGGTGGAACCCAACTAACTTCCCTAGCCAATCTGTGGATTCCTCCTAAGACACACCTCTGGCAACCTTGGACAGCAAAATGGAGGACAGTGTGGATGATGAGGAGAATGAGGCGGCGGGCGACCAACAGTCTGGACCTTTTTATAACTTTGGAGACAATCCGCTTCTCCCAAGGCATTTTACAGCCAGGCCCTGATGTTGGGGAGGGCATCTGCTCACAGAAGTGGCATGTTTGCAGTGATTATTCAGACAGTCCGTTTTCCTCCTCTGTCTTTTGGCATGACTGCCTCAGTTCCTTTATTTTCATGCAGCACTGCTCAGTATGCCCGGCATATCTCTCTCTTTCATATCTTTGTAATCTTGACATAGATATGAGTTTCTTTTTTGCTGGTTAGTAGTTCTGTGAGAACAGATTTCTCTCCCTACACAGCAGTGAGGTCCAGGATCACCTACATGCTCCATCCTGGTGCTCGTTTGCAACCCTGGGCATTGATGGTCAGTCAGGTGTGCTGCTGTGGTGAGCTGCCTACTCTGAGGTCTGCTTGCAACACAGGAAATAAAATTTAAATTTTCCCGGGGCTTTTCCTGTGCACCTGGAGAGCAGCAGAGTTGAAAGTTCTGGCCAGAGCAATCACAGAGGGCCACTGTGGGATACTTCCTGGAGACCAAGAATGTTGACTTTCACAGCATTATGTCTGCACTACCATAAAGTCAACCATGCAAGGTCAAATTTAGCTTTACTCCTTGTGAAAAGTGGGAGTACTGAAACTGAGATGACAGAACGGTCTTTGTGGTGTGGACTCATTGTGTAGAAAAAATCAATCTAATGTGACTAAGTTCAACCTAAACTCTCAGTATAGACCAGGCCAGAGTGTGGTATCAACCTTTGGGGAAGCAGAGCACAAGCTGCCATGATAAACCCAGAGATCCACCTAGAAGTCTTTATAGAGATTGTGGACTCCTTGGATCTCTCTAGGATGGACAGAGTCTTGATTTCCAAAATTCCTTGATCCCATTTACAGTAAAACTCCAATTGTTCAGCAATCCAGTGGTCCGGCACTCCCGATAGCCCGGCACCAACCGGAACCCGGAAGTGCTCAGGCCAGTCAGGCACGCCGTGTTGCGGGGAGGCGGTGGAAGCCCTGCGCAGCCAGCTTGCAAGCGGTGGCGGAGGAGAGGGGGCAAGAGGCAGGCAGCTAGATAAGGAAGGGTGGGGGGGAACGGCGTGGCGAGGGGCGAACCCTCCGCCGTGCTGCAGGAAGGCAGTAGAAGCCCCATGCAGCTGGCTTGCAAGTGGGGAAACCCAGCCCCCGGCTTGTAAGCGGTGGCGGCGAGGGGGCGAGACACATGCCTGCCTTAAACAGATGCCTGCTTCTTGCCCCCTCTCCACCGCCACCGCTTGCAAGCTGGCTGCGTGGGGCTTCCACCGCCTCCCTGCAACACGGCGGATGGTTCACACCTCGCTGCACCATTCCTCGCCGGCCCCCTTCCCCCACACACGCAGCGTGGGTCCCGTAAGACCTGTCACAGCACCCCACCAGAGTACCTCCCGATACTCCAACATATCCAATAATTCGGCATCCCCTGGGTCCCAAGGGTGCTGGATTATCGGAAGTCTACTGTATATAAAAGGCCAAGGCCCATGTAACATCTAAACTAAGATAGGGGATCTCACACCAACATCTATGTAGTTCAGGGTAAAATATTGATCAATGAATGGCCTAGTTAAGATGAAAATCTGACACCACTTTATGTAAAAATGTATGTAAAAAAATTTACAGTTGTAAAAGTATTTTATTGAAAAATACTGTAAATGGAAGGTTTGTCATCAACACCCCAATTTCTCCAACCTTGTAGGCTATTGTGGTAGCTTCTGGACAAGCCATCTTCATAGCTAAGTGAAGCAAGAAGCAGGTTGCCATAGGTTCAAGCAGAGTCCCTTAAGGTGTCTATGTACCAAGTTGAGATCCCAAGTAGGATCCTTAAACAAGGGGTAAAACTTCCCTAAACTCTTAAGAAATCTAGAGTAGATAAAAGACTGTCCTCCCTATTATGCTCCCATGGAAAAGGCTCAATAAATCCTGCAAACTTGATGTAATTTGTGAAGTTATACTTGGCCATGATTGCCTGATAGGTTGCTATCTGAAACCAGAAGGTCGCAGGTGAGTAAACTTTCCAGCCAAAAACGTCTTACCTTTTCTAGTCCTTATAATGGGATATATCTACAGTAATACTGTTTACTCTTCTCATTAACTTCAATTACCATGGAATTAGGGGAGTGTGTGGGAAACCAAAAATGTTGAATCCCTAGGAGATGCATAATATTTCTTATCTACCCATATGCAAGTTGGTGGTATGGTGGCAATGAGTTTTGCTACATAGTCTTCACTTAATCTAGAAGTGCTCTATTAACAGCACAGCCCACGTAGGTGTTGTTGACTGAAGGAGCTGGACAGAGCTTGTGTTGTGAATCTTTACCATCCCCACAAAATCTTTTATACCACCAAACACAATCAAGTATTTTGGCTACCTCTCATTTAAAATGAAAAATGTCTCTCCAGTAGGGATGTGAAAGTGTTACCATGTACATGATTAACAAATGAGCACGGGTTCATTGGTTAACTGTCATGGTTACACGCAGGCACCCTGTATGTTCCCCAACTGCCTCAAGTGCTTCCCATGCTGCTGCAGGGGGGTGGAGAGAGGAGATGGGAGTTGGCTACAAATTTTCAGTGGTTACAATTTTACTTAACCGCATTTTAACATCCCTGTTCTCCAGTACCCTGTTTCCATCAAGGCGATTGTTTGTACAGTTAAGGTACCTAGAATTTTGACTAATTGCGTAGAAGGGGGAAAAATAACTCTAAAATGATCATTATGAATCTGAAAGTAAAACATTTACCAAAGGTAAATCTGTATTCACCAATTTTAATTTTCATAGCTGCAAGATATGCAAAAAAGACAACAGAACACACACAGCAGAAACTAAATTTGACTTAAAATTCTTTACTTTTAATCGCACAGGTCAAGCAGTTTGTTTAAAGAATATGATTTTTAACATTATAATTGTCCTTTAAGTCACTCAGGAGTAGTCAAAACTGAACTGTTAATCTAAAAAAAGAATGTATTCAGCTAAAAAGCATTCTACCATATGTACAGTAATTCCTCCTTTTCGTGATACCACAATTTTTTTTTAGGGAACGTTTTTTGAACAACATGACTGTCCCCACAATAACACGATTTCCCCGACTAGCCGGCTGGCTGCCGGCGGCTGTGCAGGGCTTCCCCTGCCTCCCTGCAAAAGCAGCAGAGGTTTGCCGCTCGCCACATTGTTCCCTGGTGACCTCCTCTGGCCAGATACCTTGCTCCCTCTCCTCTGCCCCCCGCTTGCAGCTGGCTGCTTGGCTTCCCACGCTGGCCGGTTGCCGGCAGCTGCGCAGGGCTTCCCCTGCCTCCTTGCAAAGCGGCGGAGGTTCGCTGCTCACCGTGCTGTTCCCCAGGGACCCTTCCTCCCCCAACCTTATGTCCCGGTCCCAGCTGCTAACAAGTGCAGGCTGGAGCCACGAGTGCAAGCACAACCACTACATTTTCCATTATTTTCAAGGGGAGAATAGACCCTGCATAACACATTTTCACTTAGCACAATCATTTTCTGAAACGTATCTACCGTGTTAAATGAGGAATTATTGTAATTTGGTATTAAATATTTTTAATTAATTGTGTTGATTGTTTGTAAACTGAAACAAATGATCACAAAAGATAGCTGTAGACAGAATATATATTATACCTGGAGGAATGTGCATCTCTGCACATGTGCAGAATTCATGTTCCCTGCAAAATGTGTTCTTTCCACAGAAAACATTATTTTTCCACCAGGGGCTTCTGAGGCACCAGAACAAAGAGCAGCTAGTCCTAGGTGGGAGCAACTCTGTAGATAGGTGGGTAAAGAGACTGCATTCCTCCCAACCTGTGAGGCCAGTTGAG